CTCAGAGCTTCAGTAAAACTCTACGACTCTTTAACTCAGAGCTTCATAAACTCTACGACTCTTTAACTCAGAGCTTCAGTAAAACTCTACGACTCTTTAACTCAGAGCTTCAGTAAAACTCTACGGCTCTTTAACTCAGAGCTTCATTAAACTCTACGACTCTTTAACTCAGAGCTTCAGTAAAACTCTACGACTCTTTAACTCAGAGCTTCAGTAAAACTCTACGACTCTTTAACTCAGAGCTTCAGTAAAACTCTACGGCTCTTTAACTCAGAGCTTCATTAAACTCTACGACTCTTTAACTCGGAGCTTCAGTAAAACTCTACGACTCTTTAACTCAGAGCTTCAGTAAAACTCTACGACTCTTTAACTCAGAGCTTCAGTTAAACTCTACGACTCTTTAACTCAGAGCTTCATTAAACTCTACGCTCTTTAACTCGGAGCTTCAGTAAAACTCTACGGCTCTTTAACTCGGAGCTTCAGTAAACTCTACGACTCTTTAACTCAGAGCTTCAGTAAAACTCTACGACTCTTTAACTCAGAGCTTCATTAAACTCTACGACTCTTTAACTCAGAGCTTCAGTAAAACTCTACGACTCTTTAACTCAGAGCTTCATTAAACTCTACGACTCTTTAACTCAGAGCTTCAGTAAAACTCTACGACTCTTTAACTCAGAGCTTCAGTAAACTCTACGACTCTTTAACTCAGAGCTTCAGTAAAACTCTACGACTCTTTAACTCAGAGCTTCATTAAACTCTACGACTCTTTAACTCAGAGCTTCAGTAAAACTCTACGACTCTTTAACTCAGAGCTTCAGTAGTGAGCAGCATCGCCGCGAGACGCAGCAACACACTGAAACCGAATACATGCTTGACGAAATGAAGGATTTTAATATTCTTCATCTTCTAGACGATGTTTGTTCATATTTCCAGCTAAAGTGGTGCGATGTTTTTTTTTAAAAAAGCTGCTCATGAAGTTTGAGTTCTACGTTACGTTTACGTCACGTCTGATTCTGTGAGTTTATTGGCTGGTTGTAAAGTAGAAATCTGATTATTGTCTGACTCATGTAGACACAGAGTTTCCCCATTATCTGATTACTCAAGAGCATGTAAACACACTGACCGTGTCTTCTGTTATTGTTAAGCTTTATCTGCTGTCTGTAAAGCACCGTGAGCTGAACCCAGCATGAAAAGTGCTCCATAAAAAATGATGATTATTATTTTGTTGATAATAATAATAATAATAATAATCATATTTTTATTATTATGTCTACTCAGACCTGCAGATATTCACACGTCTCTGTAGCTCCTCCATGACTCTTCGTTATACGCTACTCTATTTATTGTATTTTTATTGTCTCTGAGTTTAATCCTTGTTATCAGTCTGTGTTTGTCTGGTCTGTTCAGTGTGTTAAGTTTCCAGTTTCATGTTTCAAGTTCATTTGTTGTTTGCGCAACATGTCAGGACATTCATGCATTGAAATGCTTGTGGTGAGGATCAGATAATCACCCTACAGAAAGTAAACAAAGTAAAAATAAAAATACAAGAAAATACTGAAACTGAAATATATTAAATATACACAAAATATAGAGACAGGAGGGACCTATGTAACAAAAAAATCCTCTCTGCTATGTAGAATATATTTATATTAAACAAGAGATAATCTGTGAAGAATATATACATTTTAAAGTGACGTAAGTGACTCAGTGTTGTTGTCCATAGCAGTGATATGATATAATAATAATACTGACAAAGTGACCGAGTGAAACGGTAACTGGGGAAGGACCCACAGCTTCACAGCTTGTTCAGAAGACTGATTCCGTGTGTGTAACATGGAGAAATAAAGTGGTTCTGGTTCTGCTGTGAGCAGCTGTATCTCATCTCTTTTCATTTTTAACAACAGTAAAGGAGGAGAAACATCTGACAGCTTCATCCAACACTGACTATTGTATGTCAGTGTGGTGCAGCGCTACACCTGCAACACACCCTTTATCAGTACTGGCTAAAACAGCGGCTCTCAAGCGGCTCCTCAGAGACCCTCAGACAGTTTCACCTCTGTCCCTGTGTGCTGAAAGGTGGGTTGGAGCAAAAACAGGGCTGGTCTGGGGTTCCCCGAGGAACGCATTGAGAACCACTGGGCTAAAATATAACCACTAACATGGACTAAAGAACAGAGCATACACTCTTAAAAAGATGACGCTTTAAATGTTTTTTGGTAAAGAAAATTGTTATATATTGAACTATGAACCCTTAAAAGAACCCTTTCATGATTAAATGGTTCCCTGCATGGTAAATGGGGTTCTTTAGACTGACGGAGAATGTGTTGTACAGGTTCTACTTAGAACCTTTTTGAAAATAGTGTTACAGCATCATAAAGAGTTCTATGGTTACAAGTTCATATCGTAACAATAGCAGAACCCTTTTTGGTACTATACAGAACCATATACAACAATCTGAAGAACATTTCACCATGCGAAGAACCCTGTAATCATGCAGAGG